TTGTTGCAAATGGCAAGATCTCATTCTTTTTTATGGCTGAGTAATATTCGTGTGTGTGTGTGTGTGTGTGTGTATCACATCTTTATCCATTTATCAGCACCTACATGTTGCTTCCATATCTTGGCTATTATAAAGCTGCAATAAACATAGGGGTACATATATCTTTTTGAAATACTGTTTTTATTTTCTTTGGGTAAATACGCAGAGTGGAATTACTGGATCATAGGGTATTTCTTTTTTTTAATTTTATTTTTTGAGGAAATTCCATACTGCTTTCTACAGTGTGTGCATCAATTTACTTTCCCACCAACAGTGCACTGAGGTTTCTTTTTTCTCCATATCCTCACCAACACTTACATTTCTTTTTTTGATGATAGCCATTTTGACAGGTGTAAGGTGATAGCTCATTGTGGTGGTGATTTTCATTTGCCTGAAGATGAGTGATGCTGAGCATCTTTTCATGTGTATGTTGGCCATTTGTAGGTCTTTTTTGGAGAAATGTCTAAGTCCTTTGACCAATGTTTAATTAGGTACTTATTGTTATTGAGTTATAACATTTCCCTATGTATTCTAGATATTAACCCTTTATCAGATATATGATTTGCAATTATTTTCTCCCATTCTGTGGGTTGTCTTTTCATTCTGTTGATTCCTTTGACATGCAGAAGTTTTTAAATTTGGTGTAGTCCCATTTATTTTTTTTCTTTTGTTCTGTGCTTTTGGTGTCATATCAAGGAAATCATTGCCAAACCTAATGTTCTAAGATTTTTTTCCCTTTGTTTTCTTCTAGGGTTTGAATAGTTTTAGGCATTTTATTTAGGCCTTAGTCTATTTTGAGTTAGCTTTTGTATTTGTTGTAAGGTTAGTGTCCAATCTAATTCTTTCGCATGTGAATATCCAGTTTTTCGGCACCATTTGTTGAAAAGACCATCCTTTCTATATTTGTAGGCTTGGCAACCTTGTTGAAAATCATTTTGCCATATATGCAAGGGGTTATTTTTGGGTCTTATATTCTGTTCCATTGGTCTATATATCTATTTTTTATGCTCATATCACCATTTTACTGTTGCTTTGTAATATCATTTTGAAATCAGGCAATCTGAGTCCTCTAACTTTGTTCTTCTATTTCAAGTTTGTTATGGTTATTCAGGGTCCCTTGAGATTCCATATAAATTTTAGGATTTTTTTCTATTTCTGCAAAAAAAAAAAACAAAACACTGGAACTTTGATAAGGATTGCATTTGTAGATTGCCTTGGGTAGTATGAACATTTTAACAATATTAAGTCTTCCAGTCTACAACTATGGGATGTCTTCCCATTTATTTGTATCTTCTTCAATTTCTTTTAACAATGTTTTATATTTTTCAGTGTACAAGTCTTTCACCTCCTTGGTTAAGTTTATTCCAAAGTATTTTATTCTTTTTGATGCTGTAGCAAATGAGATTTTTTTCTTAATTTCCTTTTCAGATTGGTCATTGTTAGGTATAGAAATGCAACTAATTCCAGGTGTTGATTTTGTGTCCTGCAAATGTGCTAAATTTACTAGTTCTAACAATTCTGCTGTGGAATCCTTAGGGTTTTCTAAATATAAGATCATGTCATCTGCAAACAGATAATTTTAATTCTTTTCCAATTTGTATATCCCTTATTTCTTTTTCTCATTTAATTGCTCTGTCTAGAACTTCCAGTACTATGTTGAATTGTGCTACAAGCCCTTGTTCTGTTCCTGATCTTAGAGGAAAAGCTCTCAGTCTTTCCTTATTGAATTTTTTTAGTTGTAGGCTTTTGATACACAGCTTTTATTATTTTGAGGTAGTTTCCTTCTATTCCTAGTTTGTTGAATGTTTTTCTCATAAAAGGACATTGAATTTCGTCAATTTTTTTTCCTGTATTAAGATGATGTGGCTTTCGACATTTTGTCAGTGTGGCATGTTACATTGATTTTAATATGCTGAACTATCCTTGTTTCTAGATATAAATTCCACTTGTCACAATGTACAATCATTTCAATGTGCTGATGAATTTACTTTGTTAGTATCCTGTTTAAGATCTTTGCATCAGTATTCATCGGGGGGGATATTGGTCTATAGTTTTCTTTTTGGGTCTTTGTCTGTTTTTTGTATTGAAGTAATGCCTCACAGAATGAGTTAGGAAGTGTTCCCTCCTCTTCTATTCTTTGTAAGAGTTTGGGAAGGACTGATGTTAATTACTCTTTAACTGTTTGTTAGAATTCTCCAGTGAAGCCATCTGGTCCTGGGATTTTCTTTGTTGGGAGGTTTTTGATTACTGCTTCAATCTCCTTCTTGTATTAAATGTAGTTATGTTTTTTCAGATTTATTCTTTCTTCATGAGTCAGTCTAGGTAGGTTACATGTTTCTAGGAATTCATTTCTTTTGGGTTGTCCAATTTGTTGGCATATAATTGGTCATAAACTTCCCTTTTGTAGCACTTTTGCTGCATCCCAGAAGTTTTGATATTGTTTTTATTTTCACTTGTCTCCACATATTTTCTAAATTTTATTTCTTCTTTGACCTATTGATTATGAGTGCATTCTTTAATTTCCATATATTTGAGAATTTTTCTGTTTTCCTCACGCTAATGATTTCTAGTTTCATTCCATTGTGCATACATGGGTTTTTGAAAGAGGCCTGATAATACCAGTAAAGAACCTTTTTACCACTTCAAATGGCTTACTCAAGTCTTACATATTAGCGATATAGTCAATGTCTGCAGTAACCTGAAACTATCACTTTAAGGCCAAAACATTATATAATATGTAGATACCAGGATTTTTTTTTTTTTTTTTTTTAAAGACTGATTATTTATTTGAGAGAGAGAGAGAATGAGAGACAGAGAGCACAAGAGGGAAGAGGTGTTTTTTTTTTTTTTTTTTTTTAAAGACTGAGCTGGAAGTAAATGTCTTAAAAGTTAGGAGTTTGACACTTAACAGCATTTGATGAATTCTTTTACTCACCATAAAATTAATAAAATGTCACTGGCTTATTTTTAAAAAATACATCCAAATACTACAACAAAACTTAAAAAAAAAAAAAAATACTCTCCAGAGGCAATGCAAGCAAATATTGTGGTTTCAGTACAGTGCCACTAGGCACATGTGTCTGTTGAACACTTGAAATGTGATTATTGCAACCAAGGAGCTAATTTTTAATTAAACAGTCACATGTGACTCGTGGCTATGATGTTGCACAGTGCAGGTCTAGAACAAGAGAAGTGATAGATTCTCATTATTTTATATTAATTGATCACATTTACGTTGGGGCATGTGACATGGGGTGGAAGGCATGTTGTAGAGTGACATAGACAAACTTCAGTGTATTCAGATAAGAGCCATGATAAGTAAAGTAGATACTTTCTTCTATTAGAACTAGGATGAAGGAATTTGAAGTGGCCTTGGTGGGGAAATGCTAACTCATGTAAGCAGGTAAGAGTACAGTAGATGGAAGAATAGATTTATTTTGAAAGTTTCCTTTAGGGGCACCTGGCTGGCTCATTCAGTAGGGCATGTGACTCTTGATCTTGGGGTTGGGAGTCCAAGCCCCATGTTGGGTATAGAGATTACTTTAAAAAAAAAAAAATCTTTAAAAAAAAAAGTTTCGTCCAAAAAGAATTAGAACTAGTGGGTAACTTGATACAAGAAAGCGCTTTCTAATGTGTGTTCCCTTGTTGAGAGGAGCCCAGTCCTAACCTGAAGTTGGCCATGGCACTATTACTATACTACTATTTGTGTGTGTGTGTGTGTGTGTGTGTGTGTTACACACACACTCACTATAATATATATAATCACTTCCTCTCACTATGAAACACATTCCAAACAAAGTAATCATCCTGGAGTCACAACAGTTCCACTCTTGAGAACTTGAACATGTTAATGGGGGAGAGTGCATACTTTCATGCTGAAAGGAATATTTAGAGACAAAGTTCATAAAGTCATTTCAGGTTCTCTGCAGGGGATCTCACCTCATACTTTTAGGGTCTACAAGAAACAGTGTTTCAGGATCTGTATCTTGATCTAATACTTAGTTTCTCTCAATGCACTTGTGCATTTTTGACTGTGATCTCTGACTCTTACTGGGATCCAAAGGACAACTGGTTACCAAATTCCAAATAATTGTCTTAAGACTTCTTTTATGAGTCCACCAAGTTTTCTCCTACAGATCACTTTTTCTCTAAATTTAAATTATTTAGGCTATTCAGGGCACCTGGGTGGCTCAGTCGTTAAGTGTCTGCCTTCGGCTCAGGTCATGACCCCAGGGTCCTGGGATTGAGCCTCGCATTGGGCTCTCTGCTCAGTGGGAAGCCTGCTTCTCCCTCTCCCACTCCCCTGTTTGTGTTCGCTCTCTTGCTGTCTCTCTGTCAAATAAAATATTTTTTTAACAAATTATTTAGACTATTCATTTCTGGGCCAGGCATTTCTTTCAGTTAAATTATGAATGATGATCTGCTATTCTGTCACCACACTCAGCACTGGAGACATTCCTTTAAGTTTGGATTCCTCTTCATTGCAACATTATTCACAATTACCAAAAAGTAGAAATATCCATCAACAGATGATGTCCATCAAAAGATGATGGATAAACAATGTGGTTTGTACCTAGAATGAAATGTTACTCAGTCTTAAAAAAAAAAAAAAAACTTCTGACACATGCCACAACATGGATAAACCTTGAGGACATTATATTGAATGAGATAAGTGGATACAAAAGACAAATACTGTATAACTCCACTTATATGAGCTACTTAGGATAGTCTAATTCATAGAGACAGTAGAATGGTGGTTGCCAGGTGCTCGGGGTAAGGGAGAATGAGAAGTTAGTTTATGGATACAGAGTTTCTGTTTGGGATGATGAAAGATTCTGGGGATAAATCATGATGGTTGCACAATATTGTGAATATATCTGAATTGCACAGCCACTGAATTGTACACTTAAAAATGGTTTAAATGGTAACTTTTATGTATATTTTACTATATTTTTTAAATTTCATTTCTTCATACTTCGATTGCATTTAACTGTCCTTATAATGTAAGTTAGGTCATTATAGAGAATGGCTAGTACTGGTTTTTCTGTATTTTTTCCTCTAGGAATATAGTTTAAGAACATGGTAATCCAATTTCCAAACACATAATCAGGTGGATGGGCATTATTAGTGCCATATGCAATAATCATGTCCCAGGCATCAATAATACTCACATTGAGACCCACAGAAATATCCCTCATAAGATTTTGAATATAGACATGGAAATCACTAAACATCTCTGTTCAGATATATCCCCCTGGTATTTTCAGTTTTAGGGGTCACCTTGGTCTCTGGGCTTTTCAAGAGTAGACGTTCAACACCTTTTGAACATTGATGGCTCTATGAAGAAAATCGTAACAGAAAAGGATCTAAAGTGCTGGCCAAGGGTAATGACAATGGCTGTGTCACTCTATCTGGCCACCAGATCAATTTCCCTTGGGATATATAGCTTTCATCTGTCACTGAAAACATATTTTTGGTAATAAATGGATGATCATGTCTTTCCACTGAATCAAAATACATCTTTCAGCATCACGAAACATATGTTTTTCCCCCCTCATGGTTAGTTTTGTTTCTTCCACAATATTCAGATGTGCAAGAAATTTCACAAGAGAACAAGTCAGCAGCCTCATAAGAGGCAGCAAATTCTTTACAAGTCAACAGGCTCTTAAACCCACAAAAAGACAAGCAAGTAAGATCATAAAATGTTAAAGATGAAATTCCATCACAATGTCCTTTTTTCAGCTCTACTGCAAATTTAACATAAATATCGGTGTTAATTATACTTTGTCATATGATTTGAGATTGCTTTAACCTCATACACTGAATAGAAGGCTCATTTCATACCCAAAGCTGTTACATGTCTGGCTTACTTAAAACCACAGGTGAACATTTCCAGTGCCAAAAAGAATTTAGCAAAGCTAAACTACAGGAAAATGCAAGTTAGTAAGTTTTCCTTGGTGCTTCTGAGTAACAATGTAAAGTCATCAAACTGATACTTAGAAATGGTAAAGACATTATCTTGATAATTTCATTTTAGTTTCAAAACCAAACATTGTAGAAAGCATTCATGTTTCTGTTACCATTTTCTAATTTAATCATGATGATCAATATTTAAGGTCAAAAGGTAAGTGCCCTAATTCTTTTTTTTTCCTCAGGATTTATTTATTTGAGAGTGAGCATGCTCACCTGAGAGCACAAGAGGGAGAGAGGCAGAGGGAGGGACAATCCTCAAGCAGACTCCATGCTGAGTGCCACAGGGCTCCATCTCATGACCCTCCAAGATCATGATCTGAGCCAAAACCAAGAGTCAGACGCTTAACCAACTGAGCCACCCAGGTGCCCCAAAGTGCCCCAATTCTATTTCAAGGTTTGCCATGTGTCTTCCATTAGTGTGACCATATTTATGCCATTTACCTTCCCTTCAATAAGGTGGTGGCTGAGGGTGCTTCTGCTAGTTTTCGATGCCTGCAGTTTTGAATACTTACCATACGTTGAAGACCCCAGCTCTATGATGATCAAAATATTTTAAAGCTGATGGAAAGCAAACCAATAAATCTTAACAAAAGGAAAATAATTTTAAAATGCACACATTTTTAAAATTCTAACCAAAGAGAATTTCTAACTATAATAGCATTACTGCCTTTGGGAAGAAAAGTATATCAGATACATTAAAATCTTAACACAATTTTTGGGGGCAGCTGGGTGACTCAGTTAAGCGTGTGCCTTCAGCTCAGGTCATGATCTCCGGGTCCTGGGATTGAGCCCCATGTTGGGCTCTCTGCTCAGTGGGGAATCTGCTTCTCCCTCTCCCTCTGCCTCCTCCCTCCTGCTCATGCTCTGTTTCTCTCTTTCTCTCTCTCAAATAAATCTTAAAAAAAATAAAAATCTTAACACAGCTTTTAAACTTTTAGGATATAGGAAGAGGAAAAATGTTAATATTTGTAAGTGAAAAAAATAAAATTTAACTGTATTAAAAGCCCAAATCCAAATGTTTGACAAATTTTTAAAAAAGTAAAACCAGCATCAGGAAAGAAGTATAATTATTATAAAAACAACCTTAGAAGCCAACTGTAATTTCAAAATAAAAATACATACTTTTCACCACTTTTTGTAAGTAATAAATTCACTGTTACAGTGTTGAATCTCCCATGAGGTAGAGAAGTTTTCTCTTCAAGCAGTCATTTATATTTTGCATTTAATTTGATCTAGTTACAAAATGCTGTAATCCACCTACTTTTTACAATATAACCACTGGGAAAAGGAGTCTTCATTCCAATCTGACCTTTCTTTTCTATGTTCTCACTCTCTGGGAAAAAAAAAAAAAAACACCCACAGTAAATCATTATTACCACAAATTATTTTTGAAACAAATTCTTCATTCCCTTTTCCTCTTTTCCCTCCATCCTTCTTGATTTATACTCTCCTCTCTTCCATAAATATTTATTTAACAAGATCATGTTAAAGGGATGACTTAAAAACTCTCACTGTTGAATAGTCTCACTAATGAATAGTTTATCCTAGAGTAGGGATAATTTTTCTTGCGCATTTGCAATATCTTCCTCAGTCTTTACCTTGTCCCCAAAGCTACTCAACAGCTAGCCAAATCAGGAGGAAATGTATGGACATGAAATAGCAGGATTCAGTAGCCCAGCTAAATATTGTACCAATAACATGACCTTGTTAAATTGTAGATCTTCTCCTCAAACTCTACTCATCCATGAAGAAATCTTGAACATGTTTCTGAAATGATGTCCCACATTGTTTGAGTGTACCAGAATCAGGTTCTCAGGTTAAACATTTCATTGTTGTGCCCAGGCTGAACGTAATATTAACGGTGTGGTCTGATTAGTGCTGAAAAAGGGAAGACCTCTCTATTAATACTCTACTATGAAATTAGCCTAAGCTTATTCACTGATTCACATCAAGCTTTCACCCACCTAAAACTCAGGTCATTTAAAAAAAATTATTATTGAAGTATAGTTGATATAAAATTAGTTTCATGTGTACAACATAGTGATTCCACAGTTCTACACATTACTTAGTGTTCACTGCAATAACTATAGTCACCATCTGTCACCATACATTATTACAGTATTATTGACTGCATTCCCTATGATGTACTTTTCATCTCCGTGACTTACTTATTTTATAACTGCAAGTTTGTACATCTTAATCCCCTTCACCTATTTCATCCATCTTCCTAGCCCTATACCCTTCTGGCAACCAACACTTTGTTCTCTCTACTTATGAGTCTGTTTCTGGCTTTCTGTTTTTGTTTTGCTTTGTTTAGATTCCACACAAAAGAGAAATCATATGGTATTTGTCTTTCTCTGACTTATCTCACTTAATACCCTCCAGGCCTATCCATCTTGTTGCAAATGGTAAGATCTAATTCTTTTTATGGCTGAGTAATATTCCATTGTATTTATATATATCACATCTTTTTTATTTTTTCCATTCATCTACTGATGGACATTTAGGTTGCTTCCATATCTTGGCTATTGTAAATAAGGCTGCAATAAACATAGGGGTGTATATATCTTTTTGAATTAGTGTTTTCATTTTCTCTGCATAAATACCCAGTAGTGAAATTATTGAATTACATGGTATTTCTGTTTAAGTTTTTGTTTAAACTTGAATTAGTTAGCGTGTAGTATAATATTGGGTTTAGGAGTAGATTTAGTGATTCATCACTTACATAGAACACCCGGTGCTCATCACAGCAATTTTTTGTGGAACCTCCATAGTTTTTTCCACCAGTGAATGCACCAATTTACATTCCCACAAACAATGCATGAGTGTTCTCTTTCATCCACATCCTCACCAACACTTGTTATTTGTCTTTTTGATTCTAGTCATTCTGACAGGTGTAAGGTGACCTCACTGTGGTTTTGATATGCATTTCCCTGATTAGTGATACTTAGCATCTTTTCATGTGTCTGATGGCCATCTGTATGTCTTCTTTGGAAAAAATGTCTATTCAGGTCTTCTGATTTTTTAATGGAATTGTTTGTTATTTTGGTGTTGAATTATAAATGTTATTTCCATATTTTAGATATTAGCCCCTTAAAAAATCTATCATTTGCAAATATTTTTCTCACATTCAGCAGGTTGCCTTTTAATCTCGTTGATAGTTTCTTTCAGTTTGCAAAAGCTTTTTACTTTGGTGTAGTCCCAATACTTTATTTTTGCTTTTGCTTTTGTTTCCCTTGCCTAACATCTAAAAAAATGTTAAGGCTCATTTCAAGAGATGACTGCCTGTTTTCTTCTAGGAGTTTGATGGTTTCATAAAGGTCTCTAATCCAATTTGAGCTGAATTTTGTGGATGAAGTGAGAAAATGGTCCAATTTCATTCTTTTTCATGTAGCCCTTCAGTTTTCCCAGTATCAGTTACTGAAGACACTATTCCCCATTATATATTTTTATCTCCTTTGTCATAGATTAATTATATAAGTGTGGATTTATTTCTGGGCTCTCTATCCTGTTCCTGCCAGTAGCAGACTGTTTTGATTACCATAGCTTTGGAGTATATCTTAAAATCTAGGATTGTGATACCTGCAGCTTTGGTCTCATTTCTCAAGATTGCTTTGACTATTCAGGGTCTTTTGTGCTGCATACAAATTTTAGGATTATTCTAGTTCTGTAATTAAAAAACTATTTTGATAGGGCTTGCTTTGAATCTGTAGATTGTTTGGGGTGATATGGACATCTTAACAATATTCTTCCAATCCATGAGCATGGACTATCTGTTCATTTGTTTGTGAAATTTTCAGTTTCTTTTATTAATGTCCTACAGTACTTTTCAGAGTATACTTCTTTCATTTCCTTGGTTAAGTTTATCCCTAGGTATTTTATTCTTTTTGGTAAAATTGTCAATGGATTTTTAATTTCTCTTTCTGATGCTTCATTATTAGTGTATAGAAATGCAGCCAATTTCTGTAAATTTTATATCCTGAGACTTTACTAAATTCATTTATTTCTAATAGTTTTTTGGTGAAGTCTTTAGGGTTTTCTATATGCAGTATCATGTCATCTGCAAATAGTGATAGTTTTACTTTATCAGTTTGGATGCCTTTTATTTCTTCTTGTTGTCTGATGACTGTGGCTAGGACTTCTAGTACTATGTTAAATAAAGGTGGTGAGAGTGGACATCTTTGTCTTTTTCCTGATCTTAAAGGAAAAGCTCAGCTTTTCACCATTGAGTATGATGTGAACTGTGGGTTTGTCCTATATGACCATTTTATGTTGAGGTAGGTACCCTCGAAACCTACCTTGAGGGTTTTTATCATGAATATATGTTGAATTTTGTCAAGTGCTTTTTCTGCATCCATTAAGATAATCATATGGTTTTCATCCTTCCTCGTCTTAATGTGATACATAATGTTGATTTGCAAATATTGAGCAATTCCTGCATCCCCAGAATAAATCCCACTTGATCATAGCAAAAAATCATTTTATTTTATTGTTTTGTTACTTAAGTACAGTTGACACATTACATTAGTTTCACATGCATAACAGTGATTGGACAACTATATGTTCATCTGTGCTCACAAGTATAGCCACCGTCTGTCACCATGCAGCATTACTAAAATACCATTGACTCTATTCCCTATGCTGTACCTTTCAAGCTAATGGTTTGTTTATTCCTTAACTGGAAGCCTGTACCTCCCACAACCCTCACACTTTTTGACCATGGCCTTACCTTCTTCCCTCCAGCAACCATCAGTTTGTTTTCTGTACTTATGGGTGTGTTTCTGTTTTTGTCAGTTTCCTTGTTCATTTGTTTTGTTTCTTGGGTTACACATATAAGAGAGATCATATGGTATTTGTCTTTCTCAGACTTATTTCATTTGGGGTAATGCTCTAGGTCCATCCATGTTGTTGCAAATAGCAAGATCTCCTTTTTTTTTTTTTTTTTTTATGCCTGGGTAATATCCCATTGTATTTATATACCACATCATCTTTATCCATTCATCTATCAATGGACACTTGAGTTGCCTCTATAATTTGGCTATGATAAATAATGCTGCAATAAACATAGGGGTACATATATCTTTTCAAATTAGTGTTTTTATTTTGGGGGGGTAAATACCCAGTAGTGGAATTACTGGATCATATGGTAATTTTTCAAGGAACATCCATACTGTTTTCCACAGTGGATGCCCCAGGTTCCCACCAACAGTGCACAAGGGTTTCTTTTTTTCTACATCCTCACCAACACTTGTTATTTCTTGTCTTTTTGATTACAGCCATCCTGACAGGTGTAAGGTGATAGCGCATTGTGGTGGTGATTTTCATTTGCCTGATAATCAGTGGTGTTGGGCATCTTTTCATGTGTCTGTTGGCCTTCTGTATGTCTGGTTTTGGAAAAATGTCTATTCAGGTCCTCTGCCCATTTTTTAATCAGATTTTTTTTTTTTTTTTGGTGTTGAGTTGTAGGAGTTCTTTATATATTTTGGATATTAACCCCTTATGAGATATATCATTTGCAAATATCTTCTCCCATTAAGTAGGTTACCTGTTCATTTTGTTGGTTTTTCTTTCCTGAAGCTTTTTATTTTAGTGTACTCTCACTAGTTTATTTTTTCTTTTGTTTTCCTTGTCTGAAGAGACCTATCTAGAAAAATGATGCTAAGGCTTATGTCAAAGAGATTACTGCCTGTTTTCTTCCAGGAGTTTTATGGCTTCAGGGCTCACATTTAGGTTTGTAATCCATTTTTAGTTTATTTTTGTGTATGGTATAAGAAAATGGTCCAATTTCATAATGAAGTAGCTGAAAGAGCAATTAAGAAAACCATCCCATTTAAAACTGTACCAAAAAATAAAATACCTGGAAATAAACTTAACCAAGGAGGTGAGAGGTCTGTACTCTGAAACCTGTAAAACATTGACTAAAGAATTGAAGATGACACCAACAAGTGGAAAAGTATTCCATGCACGTGATTAGAATAAAAGGTCCATATTACCCACAAACAATTTACAGATTTAATGCAATCCCTATCAGATTTCCAGTAGCATTTTTCACAGAACTAGAACAAATAATCCTAAAATTTGTATGGAGCACCAAAGACCCTGAATAGCCAAAGCTGTCTGGAGAAAGAAGACCAAAACTGCAGGTATCACAATCCCAGATTTCAAGATATACTAGATAGCTATAGTAATCAAAGCAGTATGCTACTGCCACAAAAACAGATATGTAGATCAGTACAACAGGATAGAGACACAGAAATAAACCCACACCTGTATGGTCAATTAATCTATGACAGAGGAGGCAAGAATATTCAATGGGGAAAAGACAGTCTCTTC